ATTTTCTACAAATTTTCTACAAACAATCTCTCTCCAATCAGGTATTGCCTATTGGCTTGATCCAATTCATTTTGCCGACAACTGATTTATTGTGCCGAAGGACACGGCATTGGGGTAACATGATTAGTTCACGGTAATGCTTTTCAGAATCAACTTCCTTGTTAAAACAGACACTTCGAATAATTCTGGCTTTAGATCTTTTTTTATTCTTTTGTTTGTTTTCTTCTTCCTCATTATTATGATCATCATTATCACTCAAGTTTGTCTCAAGTGGATAATTATCAATATCTAATTCACCAGATGGTTTGATATATGGCTTACCAGTGGAGTCGTACCATGCAGCCCAATCTGCAAGGGACACATTTTCAAGTTTGGCTGGTCGTTTTGTGGATCGCTTTATTAGACCAGATGCATAAATTTCATCAGAATCATCTTCCAAATCATTAATTTCTTGCAATGGTTTTAGTAACTGAACTCTATATTCAGGGGGTGAAGTATTTATAAATACTACTTGACGAGAAGATTTCCTCATTGGAAGTTGAAGTACTATCTACACTGCTTCTTGTGCACTTATTTCAACATTGTTCAAAAACTTATTTCCATGGAGTTTCCCCTTTTTGCTTCTTCACAAGCTGTTCTCAATAGTTGAGGGCTGGGAACTCTCACTGGCCCGTTTACGTTTCATATATTCCTTTGTGTACAGTCTTTTCTTTTGCCTAGCCTCAATGCTCAGTGTTGAGGGCTGGGAACTCTCACTGGCCCGTTTATGTTTCCTATATGCCTTTGCATATAGTCTTTTCTTTTGCCCAGCCTCAATGCTCAGTGTTGAGGACTGGGAACTCTCCCTGGCCTGTTTACCTTTCCTATATTCCCTTGCATAAACTCTTCTTTTTTCCTTAGCCTCAGGGCTCTGTGTCTCATTAGCTCGTTTTTGTTTCATGAGTTTGTTCATATACTGTGTTCTTGTTTGCTTAGGCTGAAAGCTCTGGGCTGACTGTTCAGGATATATCTCAACAAAACCTGATGTTGAAGTACATGGCAATGTTGATACATGGTGATACTCATCTATATGACCCAAATAGACATGAGTTAGTTGACACTGTGTTGATGGTACAGGTTGTATTATACTGTACTCACGAAACCCTTCATGTGTTCCTGCAATAGTAATTTTTAACTTAAGCTAGTCAGCCACAGCTTGTATTATCATATAGCATCACCCCCATGTCCCTTGCATGGACATATTATTAAGGTATTCTAACCAAGAGATTTCAGTGTTACTTTCAATGAATCTCTCAGGATTATCTCTCATATATGCAATACCAGCCGCTCTAACTACAAAGTGTTGTTCAGGGTTACCATATAATTGATATGACACCGCTCGAAAGAAACAGTCACCATCACCACCAACATCAAATGGTCTTAACTGAAAGCGTCTTAACCTTTGTTGTAACACCACATTTGATGACAACCTAGTTTGACTGTTGTTTTGAACAGGACCAGGATTTAATTCAATATCTCCTGACAACATTAGTGCCCTTTGAGATATGTGATATTGTTCATTGGCAATATTACCTGCTATGTTTTGACTGTAGAACATATTACACAATGATTGTTTTGCTGTATATACATGTTTTTGTGAACTAAGTTGACACATGGCTTAAAATATCCAAATGAATTAATAAAAATATGTTGTATTTGCCCAAATTGAAAACAACATTGCTTGAAATTACTAGCTATCTTGTTCAAAATGGATGACTTGGGGACAGTTCTTACAAAATAATGCTTTAAAAATGACCTATTTTTTCTCTTTCTCTTAGCCAATATAATTCTCTTTAAAGGCAATCTGGACGGTGCACGGTCTCTAGACCGTTTAGTATTTGCTTGCTTAGTTAATTTCCGTACAGTCGATCCGCAACTACATGTACTGTGATCTGAATTTATACACTTAATATAGCTACTCTGAGTTCGGTATAAAAGTACAATGTTATATGTATTTTGCTCGTGAATTACTTCAAATATCGTAAATCGTTTCAGAAAAGCTTGTTCTGCATGATCTCCAAAGAGATTGAAGAGATTGATTTGGTCTCCGAAGAGATTGATTTGATCTCCGAAGAGATTGTTTTGCTCTCCGAAGAGATTGTTTTGCTCTCCAAAGAGATTGTTTTGATCTCGAGCAAAATTGACTACTTACCAGATGAGGATATAAAGTTTCCATGTAGATAGATGACGATAACTTGCAAGTAGAAAGGCCAGAAACTAACTCAGCAATTCCAACCAAAATAGCGAGAATATAAAATGAATAACACGAGGCAAACCATGCCCATTCGCAGGTTAGATGCGGACACGATATGTAACCTAATCGCTGATTGGCTTAAATTATATAAGATTGGCTTAAATTATATAAGCTCGTCGCTGAATGGCTATGTGCTAACATACGGTACGGTCACGGCACGTTTGCGATAGCATATATATCTGCTTCGCAGATACAAAAAGCATTAAATCCCCCGCCCCTGGGACAAACTGGTCTGTTAAAACCCCCGTACGGCCGGGCTTTAGTATACCTAAACAAGACAAATTCCGCATCATGCATGCATTTGAATTACCTGTCTTCCGCAACTTCCAGATTGAATTTCCGTCAAGTATTGTATTGACAATGTCTGGTCATGCATATCAAAATATCGATATGAAAATGTAAATAAATATGCAAATAAAAAATGTAAACAATGCCAAATATATCCAAACAATGGAAAAGGCGATGCCTGATACTTATTGAATATTAACAGCAGCGGATGGCTGAGGATTAAGTATAAAATATAAAGTTTCAAACGCACGTACCTGTCGAGGAAGTTTTTCGCCAGTCGCCATTTTCGTTTTTACGACCCTATGCGTCATTTTAAGTCACCAGATATACCCGGTGTATTTATATCTATGATTTATATATAGCGGCTGTTAAATCCCGGGTCAATTCCCCGGTTATAAAAAAAGTTGTTAATTCACCTATTCACCAATAGCGACGCCATCTTGAATTTCGCGTTTAACGCAATGCATTATGGGTGATCGAGGGTAATTGAGCGTTTTTGAAGGGCTGTAAATCAAATATGTAGGCGAAAACACACGTTTTTATAGTTAAAAATAACATACAATTTTTAGAAGAACTAGGAAAACACACAAAAGCTGGGAAAAATAAAAAAAATAGGCCTAAAAAGGGAAATAATTTCACCAAAGTGCGCATAAAATTGATTTACACTGCCTCATTGTCATCAAGAAATTGTTTATAAAAAAAATTATCGTATTATATCTCAATACAACATTAAAGGCTTTTCAATTCGAATTTTTACACAGGATAACCCATAATGCATCATGATTCAAGATGGCGTCGCTATTGGTGAATAAGTGAATTCCACCGGGGCATAGCACGTTGTTAAATAGCGTTAAATCCCCCCTAAATTTTGGTAATTCCCCGCTATGTCCCGGGGGGGCGTGATTTCAAATGACTGAAGCATAAAAGAGGACAAAAAATCCTCTCACAATGCATATTTTCAGCGTTCGAAGAACAAAATGTTTGTTAAAGAAATGCGCCCGCAATATTTAGACAGCGACAACAGAATGCCCAGCAGTGAACTATATACATGGAAGGCTGACTTCAGTCAGTTACGTAATCAAAAAGTGAAGCCAAAGATGGCGGAAATTGAAGGCATTCTTGCGCGTCATTCTCAGTCTCCTTACCCGCGCGGCCAAACATTTTTTGTATTTTCATGGCGGGAAGTGATGGGTCCGCGACTCTCGGATTTTCTTCATTTTAAAAGAGCAAAAAACGACATAAACTTCATTTATTTCATGTAAACATGATTTCCTTTATCTAATCGATCTGTCTACTGCATTTTCCCACTGTATGTGTGAGTAAATCTGTATTTTTCGTTTTTTTAATAAATCTGTATTCTTATAAATTGGGAATTTATTTTTGTTTTGGTTGTTTCGCTTTCTTGTTTTTATGGTGCTTTTCAGTTTTCACACCATTATTTAGCTTATTTTAGTCCGTTTTCCAGACCTAAAACTCCTTTTTAACTGCAGTTTTCGAGGCAGTTTTTAGCCAATTTAATTTCATACATGTAAGAAAATTTTGTTTTTTTATTTTCTATTTAATAAAATCACTTTGATGATTGCTTTATAAACTTAAACTGTTTATTTTAATGAGTTATTTATGTGTGTGAAACCCTTGTCAATAGGGGCAATACAGATATTTTGAAAGATTGAGTGACATTTGTGTTTTGTTTTGTCACTCTTTGTCATTTACAAAAACAACAATCCCGCGCTATTTTGCTTTCTTTCCACTCAAATATCGCATCTTTTAAACTGAATAATAATTAAAATTTAGAACCGAACTCAAACAAAACACCAGAATTCAACTTTTCATTCAAATTTCGTCTGTTTTTATCAGGTTTTTACTCGGAAAATAAAAAAATATATAAAAGTTTTGTTGACCGCGCACGTAAGGGGACTGAGTGACGCGCAAGAATGCCTTCAATTTCCGCAATGTTTGGCTTTACTTTTTGAGCTCGAGTCAGTCTTCCATATGTTATATAGTTCAGTGGTCTTAGTCAAAGACCACTGAAGACTTAGTGTATATCAGTGTTTCCGACTGTGACGTAGCACTGAACATACAGCTGAACATCAATTGAATTGAAAAGTTGCTGACACGACAGAAAGTTATTCCGCTTTGAAATGCGTGCATTTACTGCTCTTGCATGAAGCAAGAGTTCGAAAAACATTCGAACTACTGTAAAATGTAAGTAATGAATCGACAATTTGACCTTGTCCTTGAATATGACCTTGCTATTGGCCTCAGCACTGAAATGTTTTTGAGAACGATAATTTACCAGTGTTTCTTGGATATTTTCCTTGTTTAACTAGTAGAAACGAACATACAAATGCATTTGAAGACTAAGCGAGAGTTTTGTGTAGAAATGTTCTGTTTACGGGAGGTTATTTTGCATTCGCAACTCTGTCAACGAGCGTCAATAAAAGCGGGCATTTTCGATCAGTTTGATTATCATATCGATAGATAAAAGCTTTGAAAATCACCGGTATTTGAAATCACCCGTATTTGTATAGAGTATATGTTAGTTGTATTAACGTTGAACTTCTTTCTGTTTGGACCCAAATTTGTACTTGTTTTGCGTTTGACAAGGCTATCAAGCTCGCGACGATTGGCTTTACAGCGACTGCAGATTTAGCGTGTCAAATGGCTTATTGCACTTTTAATCCACTCCCCCCCCCCTCTATGGAGGACATCCAATTTTTGGACCCCCTCCCCCCTCCCTTGGAATTCCGCAGATGTTGATGAATTTCCAACCTTACCCATGGAATTTCGCAGATTTTTTACAAATCTACCCCATGGAATTTCCACAGATTTTTAATGAATTTCTATCCCTTGGAATTTCCACCGATGATTTTTGACCTAGTCTCTGGAATTTCCACATTTTTTGTTTAATATAGGTAACCATCCCTTGGAATTCCCATGTTGTTTTTTTAACCTACCCCTTGGAATTCCCACAGATTTTCTTTAAAATTTAGACCCTCCCTTGGAAATTCCTTCTTTTTTGTTGAAATTTGTAGTATTTTAACCTTAAAACCCAACTATGCTAAGTAAAACTCCCTTGTTAATACAGCTGTCTAGTTCTGCTCGAGGTGCCTGTTTTTTCCCGCCGGAAGTGCTAACTCCCGGATGTTACACTCCTTTTTTCCTGGATTAAAACCAGAGTCCCTGCAACATAACATCTAAACTAATAATGTCAACACTATAACCTACCAGTTTATAATCCCTTAGTGTTTTATACTCTAAAATTAATGTAATTACTCACGAATAATTGTCTGGTGTCTGTCTATCTCTTTGCGGATATCGGGCTGCTGGAACTGCATTTTCTTCGCTAACCACTTGTTGGTCTGGAACGGGTTGCTGGTTGATATCTGGATCCATGACGTCATTTTCGTTTTCTTCGGGTGTTTCAGATCGGAAGAGCGTGATCTTGATGGCGATGAACCTCGCGGTCGTCTTCCAACTGTATGGTATAGGAAACTGGCCCGGTTTGTGTATTGATCACTCCTGGACACCACTTTTGTTGTTTTCCATATTCTCTCGAATATACTAAATCACCTGGTCGCAATTGTCGATCCACTGCATGTTGATCGTGTAAATCTTTCTGCTTCTTCTGTTGGTCCTGTACTCTTTGTCTTACATCTGGATGTAGTACGTCCAAGCGAGATCTTAGTTTTCTGCTCATAAGCATTTCCGCTGGCGCTATCCCTGTGGTTGAGTGTGGTGTGATACGATATTTGAAGAGAAACCGAGACACTCTGGTTTCCAAACTTTCCTTATTTGACATCTTCATCCCTTCCTTAAACGTCTGGACCGCCCGTTCTACAAGTCCATTGGAGGCTGGATGATAAGGAGCAGTCCTTCTGTGATGAATGCCGTTTTTCGCCAGAAATTCTTCGAATTCTTCACTGCAAAAATTACTACCGTTATCACTAACAATTGTTTTAGGAAGGCCGTGGATTGCAAATGTTGATCGAAGTTTTTCAATTGTTGCTCTCGATGTTGCCACATTCGTTGGATGCACTTCGAGCCATTTTGAGTACCATCGACCATGATGAGGAACATTTTTCCCAAGAATGGACCAGCATAGTCAATATGAATTCTTTCCCATGGTTGGCTTGGCCATTTCCACGGGTGCAGTGGCGCTTCAGGAGGATTCTTTCTATTTATCTCGCAGTTGTTGCACGTTCGTACTTTGTTTTCCAAATCGTTATCCATGTTCGGCCACCACACGTAGCTTCTTGCTAGACTTTTCATCTTACATATTCCTGGGTGGGTTTCATGTAATTCGTCAACCACTTGCCTTCTTCCTTGGGGTGGAACAACCACTCTGTTTCCCCAAAGTATACAGTCGTCTTGAACACTCAGCTCGTCTCGTCGTTGAAAGTATGCTTGAAACTCCCCATCTGGACACTTGCTAGTCCAACCTTGTTTAATAAATTCAAAACTCTAGCAAGTATAGGAGTTCTCTTTGTCCAGTTCTTCACTTGCTCTGCTCTTATTGGAGTAGTCTCCAATAGTTCCATGAGTAAGATTGTTTCTTGAGGAACTGGTGTTGAACCTGGGGTGTCTGGCAATGGTAATCTACTGAGGGCATCAGCATTTGCATTCTGAATTCCTTCTTTGTACTGAATGGAGTAGTCATACGCAGACAAAATTAAGGCCCACCGCTGAATTCGAGCTGCAGCCATTGGTGGTGTCATTTTATCCGGATAAAGTACCCGCTCAAGCGGCTTGTGATCTGTCAGTATGGTGAAATTTCTTGACACCAAATACGATGGCTAGCGCCTCTTTGTCTAGTTGAGAATAGTTTTTTTCAGCTGCGGACAGTGATCTCGAGGCAAATGCAATTGGTTGTTCTGTGTTGTCTTCCATCCGGTGTGACAAAACAGCCCCCAAGCCATATGGTGAGGCATCGCAAGACAGTATTAACTCCTTCTCCGGGTCATAATGCACCAATATATAGATGTGAGGACTTCAATAACTCTTTGAATTTTCTAAATGCCTCTTGGTGCTCTTCACTCCATTTCCAACTTTTCCCTTTTTCCAACAGGCTGTGCAGTGGTGCCAGAATCGTTGATAAATTTGGTAAATAATTTTGGTAATAGTTGATCATTCCCAAGTATGATCGAACTTCAGACACATTCGTCGTTGCCGGTGCATTGGTAATGGCTCTGACTTTCTCTTGAATTGGTTGTATTCCTTAGCTATTTATCTTCTGGCCTAAATACACCACCTCGTTCACCATGAAGGCACACTTCTTCTTCTTTAGGCGTAACCCATACTCTGACAACAATTTAAAACTTCTTCTAAATTTGCTAAATGTTCCTCATCATTCGAACCAGAGACCAAAATATCATCCACTCGCACAACCACGAAAGGAATCCCCTGCAGTAGGTTTTCCATAGTACGCTGGAAAATCCCAGGGGACGAGGACACTCCATATGGCAATCGATTGTACTGAAAAAGTCCTTTGTGTGTGTTGATGGTAGTATATTTTTTTTATTCATCCTCCAATAAGATTTGTTGCTAGGCTTGACTCATATCCAGCTTGATGAATTTCTCTCCACCACTTAAAGTGGCAAAAAGATCTTCTGCCTTGGGAATCGGGTAATTGTCTAACTTTGTAGCTTGGTTGACAGTTACTTTATAATCCCCACAAATTCTTATCGACTTATCATCCTTAACGATTGGTACGATTGGCGCTGCCCAATCTGCAAACTGGACAGGCTCTATAGTTCCCACTTCTTGCAATCTTTCTAACTCCTTTTCTACTTTTTCCCTCAATGCATAGGGAACAGGTCTTGCCTTGTAATACTTTGGACTTGCATCCTCAGCCACATATATTTTGGCTTTGGGACCAGAAAATGTTTCTAACTCTTCATGAAACACTTTCTCATACTTCTCAAGTAACTTATTAACTTTGACTGAGGTATTCTTGTCCTCTTTTAACTGAAATAAATTCTCCCAATTTATTTTAATCTTTTGGAGCCAATTTCTGCCAATCAAGTTAGGGCCCTTCCCCGTTATGACGAGTAAAGGCCATACGCCTTCTTGATCATCATACTTCACCGAAGTCTCCAGCTGACCCAAAACTTTAACTTGCTCTCCCGTATAGGTATTTAGTCTTACCTTTGACTCCTTCAGCTCTAGGTTTGGGTGTTTTTTCTTCAATAATGTATATGTATCCTCATTCATTACACTAACTGCCGCACCAGTATCTACTTCCATCTTTAGACTTTCATTGCTCACCAGTACATCAACAACATATGGCTCAGCTTGCCCTTTGCCCAGACTATAAATCCCATAGTTGTCGTCTTCCTCTTCGATCTCGTCATCCTGTTTAAATAGTTGCTGCTAGTGCCTGAGTTAGGGTTGTCGTTTCGTTGATTTTTTCCAGTCGCCTTAGTGTTGCTTCGACATTTTCTTGCTATGTGTGCTTTCTTGTGGCACAGAAAAAAAACACAGCATCGCGAAATTTGCATTGTTGCGGGTCATGTTTACCCCCACACCGACCACATTCAGGCTTTGACCATAGTTGGTTTCCTTGTCCTTGGTTGTCCACACTGTGTAATGTTGCAGATTTCTCAGTATTTATATTTGCATTGGCCATCTGATGTGTCAAATATCGTGCATTCTTTACTGCAGTCTCCATTGATGTAGCTATTTTCATGGCTTTCTTAAAGTCGAGAGAACTTTCTGCTAACAATCTACGCTGAATCTGTTCGTCATTAATTCCACACACCAACCGACCACGTAACATCTCTTCTAATTTGAAATCACAATGTTCTGAAAGACTTCTTAATTCAGCTACATACGAAGCAATTGACTCACCAGGTTTCGTGAACCGAGTATTAAACTTGAATCGTTGCACTATTGCCTACGGTTTTGGGTGTTGATGTTGTTGTACAAGTTCTACTAGCTCTGCAAACGTCTTCTCTGACGGTTTATTCGGCGTGATTAAGTTCCGAATCAACTTATACGTCTTGCTACCACAAACACTCAATAATATCGCTCGTTGTTTATCTTCGTCGTCCACGCCATTTGCTTCGAAATAAAATTCCAACTGCTCAATATACTGACTCCATTCCTCTTGTGAGTCATATTCTTCTAGTTTTCCATGATTTGCCATTTTATCTCGTCGCCAAATGTAGTATTTTAACCTTAAAACCCAACTATGCTAAGTAAAACTCCCTTGTTAATACAGCTGCCTAGTTCTCCTCGAGGTGCCTGTTTTTTCCCGCCGGAAGTGCTAACTCCTGGATGTTACAAATTTTAGGAAGGGGTCTGGAAATTCCAGTATCCTCCCAGGTTGTGTTCTGTAACAAGCCTATGTCTTCTTGTTTGTGTCAAGATTATAATACTCTATTGCTGTTCAAAAGAGATATTCTATACACTGGCAACGTAGAGTAGATTTTACTTTCTCTTTGCCTCAACCAAAAGAAATATAAAGATTATTAAACAGGCATTCAAAAATACACAACAACCGCGAGCGTCTCACGGCTATAAATTCTTCGGGAAAATCTTCAAGTTTTAATGCAAATTTTGGTTAATCTGGCGCATGCGCAACAAATTTCCCAGCTGTTTTCCACTTGCCAGAAAATTTCCTGGCAAAAGCAAATATCTCTGGCAGGAAAAATGCCAGGAAATTCTTTTTGGAAGGAAATTGACAGGAAATACAATCAATTGCCAGGATAATGGCAGGAAATTCTGAGATTCCAACCATTGGGGCTTTAAAATAGTCTATGTGTGGCGTAGTAACTAGTAAAATGTTGAATATACAAGAAAGCTAGCTATCGCTACCTATCATAGAGTCTTCAAACGCTGGCAATTCGATTTGGGCCTTCAATAGTTCAATCGGTACGATTCGGAAATTGCTCGGAAATCTCTGGCAGGCTCAACTCAAAGGGGCTGCGGTTGAAAAAATTATTGTAAGAAAAATCTGACAAATATTCCAAAACGACGAAAATTTCAAGATTCAAGAATAAAGAATAAAGACTGTTTGTAGAGATTTTTACTGTCTCAGCATGCGGGTGTTCTTTACACGTAATACGTTACTATAATACTCACTCCTTTCAACTCACTAATACCCGATATGTCTTATGAGCTGATAGCCGATGAGGCCGCGTAGCGCCGAATCGGCTATCGCTCATATTCGACGAGAGTGAGTGGAATAACATTTTTATTAGTACACAAGGTCTAAATTCACAGACTTTGCTTTTCGGATATATAATATATTATCAATATTTTTCATTGACGAAATATGTATAATCATCACCGGGTTGTGAAAGACTAGATCTTGAATTATTGTATTTCACACTCGAAATCGATTCAATGACTACTCGAATTAAAATGTGTACAAGAAAACGGTTTTTTTCAAACTATAGAATATATATATATATATATATATATATATATATATATATATATATATATATATATATATATATATATATATATATATATATATATATATATATATATATTATGCTCGTTCGGGGTACCACGTTCTTGAGCACTCTATAGTTCATTGTATAGACTTATGCGCGCCTCGTGCTTAGCGAGTGTTGCTGCTTTGTCGAATGTCAAACAAAGACATAAAAATATGAAATATATATATATATATATATATATATATATATATATATATATATTATATATATACATAAAAATATGAAATATATATATATATATATATATATATATATATATATATATATATTATATATATAAATAATAATATGAAATATATATATATATATATATATATATATATATATATATATATATATATATATATATATATATATATATTTCAAAAGGTTGAGCAACACATTGTATTTGGTCAGTCGTAGCTGAGGCACTCAGGTGCCACTTTGCATAACTATGCCACCGAAAATGACCGTCTTATTGATCACGCGAGATCGCCAAACAGTAGCCGAACTCCCGGGTTGCCATTGCAAAAGTATGGGTTGTAGTTGTACGAATAATATTCAAACGGTGGCCATATTTTTTCGCTAATATATTTCCTTTTATTTAATGTTTATATATAGGAGATATTTTGGTTTTAACATAACGAGAACTAGGAGATGACCTTCCGACTGCGTTCATGGACGTATTTTGTTAGCTTAAATTTTAAGTTTTGTATGAAGAGAGTTACCTTCGTGCAGGTCGTTGTGTCACTGTCCCATATATTCTCCTGATTACTATTAGAACGAATAAGATAGCACAAGCAAGAAAGATAGACAATGCGAAGCTATTAAATGTGGCCAGCCAGTCTGAAAGTTTAGGTGAATTCGAACATTCATAATTGTAACAGTATTCACTAGGAGCTCCACAGTCACTATCTCCGTTACATTTCTCCCCAACACAACTACGCCGGCATATATTGACGAAGATATCTCGCTTACAGCAATATTCTGAAGGGGCGCAATGAGAATTCGTAGTACATTGCGGACAACGGTTTGAAACAGCACAATTGTTATTCAAACAACATTCATCCATCCCCCCACAGTCGCCATCTGTAATACAGTATCGATCTTTACAGTTCAGGACTTGACAAGTTCGCTCACTATCTCGAGACTTTCCTTTACAACAAACTGGAGATAATTCAGGTAATCCTAAAAATTCACATTCAGAATTCGTACTGCATTCATCTTCTGCTAACGTTACATGAAATTCGCTTATCAATATCACATTTAATAACAGACATCCGTAACGCAATAACGGCATTTTGTTCAAAACCCTGTGAATACAGCTGGTGCCGTATTAAATTTCCTGACGGGGGTCTTAAGTCCCGGAATGGGGAAGGGGGCTAATAATTATTTACAGTCCTATTGTTTCGCATATTTATAATCAGTTGTAAAATATCTTCTATACTTTGTCAATATACGTAATTAAACGCAAAACAAGTGAAACTCCAAAGATCGATAACATTTTTATTTATCTACGTTTCCACTATATTTCGTGATCGTCAGCCCGGATAAACTAGCTAGATGGCAACAAAAGCAGTATTTATATGAAGAAATATGATACATTGATTATTAATGAATTAATTAAATATGATTAGTTCTTTAGAAGCCTTAATTCCATGATTAAGTTCAGGTTTATGTATTTGAATAGCGAGGGATTCTTGATACAGCAATTTATCAATTATTTTAGTGTTATGGAAAACATGCTCAGCCTTTATGCTGGTTTGATTAGACTTTGCGTCATCGTCGGGATGGATTACAAATTCTGTGTGATAGGAATGTTTCTTAGTTCTGATGTATAAACACCGGTCAGTTTTGCCGATGTATCTACTATTACATCCAGGGCAAGTAAATTCATAGACTTTGATTTCGGGGTTTTATCTTTGCATGATTGACAAATACGTTGCTGTTAATGTTTTCCAGTTAGTAATGAATCGGCATTTTAATGTGAGTATAAGAGGAGTTATTTTGTTATCATAACTAGAAATACATGCATGCAGTAACCCCTTGCCAATATTTTCCAACATTAAATTTACATGAAGTATTCAGCAATGGCCGGCACTAAACGCAGGCTCGCGCTCAGTGTCGCCATGACAACACGATATTCTTAAATTTTTAATTTTTTCATCAATTTTTGTACAAAACTGCAAAATAGTTGAAAGATTCGTACTTTTAACTACACAACAATAAATTTCCGAAATATACACTGTAGGTATATTATTAACCATTTTGTGAGCTTTGATTTAATGTAAAATTTAACTTGAAACGTTTCGTAAAATGTTTTGAAATGTTGATTCAACGGCTACATTAGCCGATAAACTGTTTTTACTTAATTATAAAACATAAGTTTAATACAAATAAAAGAAATTGTTATGTAATTTCAGTTCAGTCTTCAAATCAATTTGTTCAAATTAAACGGTAATTTATGAAACTTAGAGCTTCGTTGAAAAGGAAAACAGTTTTTAGGCAAAAAGTTAAAGCAACAAAATTCGTAAAGCAAACTTGCCGTATATTTCACGATTTCCCATAGTAAATCAATTCTTCTCTTTTTTTCAAACAAAATTGCTTCAAGATTGTTGTATATGAAACGATTTTCCAAATATATGTCTCTTAAAATTGAAATCTTGCTTATCCCACTCCTACAAGCAATCAGCCATATTTTTGAGGATGACCACCCACTCAAGATCGTTGGTCACGCCCGCGATCATTGATGAACTTTAGACTTCGCTAATGCTTTCGTTTCCCCGGGTTTAAATAGCCGGGGGAATTAGTACCCTTGCCCCGGGCTTACGCCAGGAACGGCGCTCCGCGCCGTTGGCTCGAGGATGAAGCGAACGAGTTTGTCTTTCACCAAATTTGCCAAGATATGGTAGCTGTTAACCAGAAATTAGGAGCATTGTGGCTTCGTTGGCATTGTCATTAGATATCAGTGGGGATAGTTTAAATTGGTTAATAAGCTTTGAGGTTAATTTGCGAGGGAAACCATTCCAAGACATGAAATTTTGGATTTGTTTTAACTCGTTGTTCAGGAGAGTGGTATATACTGCAGATTTTGTAGGCGCAATTTACGAGAGCACGGATCCAAGCAATTTTTCTTGACCAGGTTGTGAAGCTTGATATTGTGGGAGTATTGACCGATATGAGTGGGCTGTCTATAGATAGAAGTTCCAGAGAGATGGATGTGGATGTCAAGGAAATGGATGTCATTGTCGCTGAATTCATCAACGGTAAATTGTAAGTTAAGATGGAAAGAGTTAAACTTAGTAAGAATTAGTTGTATGTCAGATGGTCGTGTAGCCTGAAAGGTGTGCTTTTCTGCAGGCCCTCGATCCTCCCCCGTGCCCGCCAAAATCCTGCCCATCTGCAAATCAGGCTTCCCATAAAACCCATAAAATTGATGGCCTGCTACGCAGGTTAGTGTGTACATTATTTCTCGCCATGGCAATTTCGAAACTTAAAAACGACTTGGCAAATAAAAAACATGTATACGTTTCAAGAGCTACCTTGGGATTTTAAAATTTCTATGTGTAATATAAAAATTTCTATAAAGAAATTTATATTAAAGCTATCATATTTTAGCTATCAGCGTTAATTTCGTAAATTGCCGCCATATAGGCCTATATGATATTTGTACTTCAGTAATTGTGTCAAAGTCTACAAATACTCGGTCAACATGTTGCTTTCTTCACAAAATGCACAATTATTGCGAAATTGAATTGTGCGCTTATATCCGCCCCACTACTTATTATACCTTCAACCCAGGCGGACGCCGGTCGGCTCAAACAGCAGGAGAGCCTCATACCCAGGCGCTTTAAATATAATAGGAATACATACTATGACAATAAAAGCCCAAACTGAATGCGTGGAAAAGTTTTGAAAGCTCGGGCGTGAAACAATCAGCGCTTCTTCAAGAACTTTAGCATAGTTTTGACCAAAAAGAATTCACTTTTTAACAACCTTAGAATGAACTTTTGCCTAATTAAAGGTTGTTTAAACTAGCAAAGAAAGATCTTGCTACGCAAGAGTCGTTTTATGATGAATTACTTCTACTTTTGCTCAAGTACGAAATCAAGTAATTTAATCACCTCTGCTTCTATGTTTAAATAGTTTGATCAGTTGCAGATCATAATTACATATAGTACTCTTGTGTGTTGTATTCTATACATGTAAACGTAAAAAAATATAGTTAGTTAATTCAGCGCCATTAAGCATGGCTCCACCTTGAAAAACCAAGTTCTATTAGATCTTCAAGAGTTTTTACCCAAACGAATTATACTTTCAGTTATGTTTATAGTGGGAAAAGTATTCAAATTTGCGAAGTTGTTACCATGGCAACGAAGTCAGGCGACTTTGGGGAACGTGGATTTTGCCGAAAAATTAAACGTCCAGCCAACACCGCAGTTTGTTTCGAGTGATAGTCTAGTTTATCACGCTAGGCAGAAATTCGAATTGTATCACTTGGAGATAAATTTATAATTTTGGCCAATTAATTATCCTTTTTGTAATTATATTTTCTGTTACTTTTTGTTGATACCGTTTGTGTCCCATTTTTCAACTTAGTGCAATAAACTCGATCGTCACCAGACTGCATCAAACTACACAGTTTTCTTGTAACTTTGTTTAAATTTTGCATTCTCGCGTGCTTGAAAATACTAAAATATTTTTATCCAATATTTTTATCCAATATGGCTGCATGCGAATTAAGGTTTAACTGCCAATAGACAACTCACTACATACAAGAGGCCTAGACACAAATTAAGCTTCGATGTCCGTTTTGGCATGTCCTTCTTCTTCTCTCGAAAGCATTTAACCAAGTTGAATGTAATCGGTAACGTGACAAATGGTAACAGAAATACCACAGTATAGTTCATAGCCAGAACAGTAAGAATGACATAAGGAGTGAAAATAAGGAAGACATACAAAATGAACGAACCTCTTTCTCCCAACAAGATGGCCAATGTTATAATGCCACTTTCCCTGTCTTCTCGCAAATCTCTTGCGTTGTTGCTGTGAAGCATGGCTTCTGTGATCAGGACTAATGGAATAGTGTACAACATGGGAAGAATTGAAATACTCCCGCCTTGTGCCACGTACGAAAACAGCACCGTCAAAGGGCCAAAGGTTGTAAGAATGACAAGATCTCCGAGACCATAATATTTCAAAGATGGACCACCCGTGTACAAAAATGAATTACATAAAGCGCCAAAGAAAAGTAACGCCAATTGTCCTCTTGACGCTGATGACATAAACACAAGTGCACTCAAACCAAGGCCACCAACGACGTAAGAGAAACCAGCGAGGCGAGCTACTTCTTGCGGTTGCAAAACGTTGTCAACGAGAGTTTTATCGGTTGAAACTTTGCTGTCAACTCCATTGACGTAGTCGTAGTAGGTATTGACTAAATTTCCGCCTGCTTGAACCGCCACAACAGTGATGCAAGTGAGGACATAGACGAGCGGATTAAAATCATTTGTTGTCTTGTACCACAAAACAGATCCAAGTGCGACAGGTGTCATCGACGCAGAGAAAGCCCATGGTCGTGGAGCGGTGATGTAGGTCCACCATGTTCGTGTTTCCGTCTTCGTTGGCATTTTCCTGTTCGTTGGAACTGTGCTTTTCTCTTCGAATTACGAAAATAAGCTGGTTGCCTGACTAAGCACTATCAGAAGAGCAATATTAATAATGTGTTTTCATGCGACACTACATGGGAAGGTCAAAGTTTCTTTGTGTAAAAGCATTTGTTCTCCAACAATGAACATGGACTTGTAAAACATGGACTTGTACAACATGTTCTCTTAACAATGAACATGGACTTGTAAAACATGGACTTGTAAAACATGGACTTGTAAAACATGGACTTGTAAAACATGGACTTGTAAAACATGGACTTGTAAAACATGGACTTGTAAAACGTGGACTTGTAAAACAAACGA